TCCAATGAATAAAAGTTATCCACAAATCCACACGGATCGATATAATAATGCGTTTTACCTCGACCCAGGAAAAATGCCATCCGATTTTTTTCGTAATAGATACAAACTTAATTCTTTCGCCATTCGATTCCCCATAAAATTTGCTACAAACGCACGGATCTTTTTTTCGAATTTTTTTTCCCTTGCTGAGTTATGAGGTTCTCCTTAAGAGGAATCAAATTTGATTCTATAAAACACCCAGTTTTCTTCCTTTACAATAGATTGATACTGGATTACCACTGCCACAATGCCGTGAATTGTCACCCATGTACTCGCGCCGCCACCACCTTGACATTGCGGTGGCGGCGACTACAGTTTTCGCAATTGGACGACTGCTGACGGAGAGATATCCCTCACGGTTTTGCAAACAATAACAAAAGCATTCATATACTCATCAGCATGGACTGCATCGAGGACATTGTGAGCGGCATACTAGACATTATAGTACGTCGTGTTGTACCCGATCCTGCGGTAACTTCTCCAATGGAAGACAGCAGCCTTATTCTGAAGAGGCGCCCGTATTGTTGTAATGATTAATATCGTTGTTCCTTTATAACAGATTGATATTGGATTACCACTGCCACAATGGCGTAAATTGCCACTCATGTACCAGCGCCGCCATCACCCGAATCGATCTTTTTTCGCGCGTCGCGTAGAGGCTGCGCTCACAGTCAAATGTCCATGTGCCTCGTTGCGTGTAAAAACTTGCCGTACGTGACGCTAGTGCTGGCCGATCCTAACGGCCCCATCTGCAGCCCGTGCCGCGTGGTGACTTGAACAGCTTCAAGCACGTACTTATCTGACTGGACTTTGACGCGATTTGAACGGAAATTCAAGGTTTTAGGAAAAAATCACTTAGCCAATTTTGAGCAAAACGCGCCGTTTTGCAATGTTTATTTTTTTCCCTACGCTGAAGAACAAATTCAAAAGTGTACACATATAACTGTGCTCTAAATTTCATGGCGAATCTTATGGCGAAAGAATCAGGTCGCTAGTTCACAACTCTAAGGACTTGATGTTTTTGCGAGGTCGATGGGTCGAACTTCGAGTTCCGCTGGTTGAACCTCTTGATATGTTTTTTAGTTTCTGCTGAAAAACTTTAAAACACAGTTTTCTAGGTTCACTTTTCGATGTAGAATCTGAAAATATTAGTTAAAAAAAGTTAAAATGCAGTCTGACAGCACATTTTCTGAAAAGATGCGTTTTTTCGTGTTTTTGACCCGAGCTCAGTATTTCGGGTCTTTCTCCCTGAAGATGATATTCTTTTAAACTCGGACGGTGATATTCGTGATCAGCACACTTTGCTCTATCAGAATATATCTATTTGAATTAAAAATAAAAATGCGTGGTAACTTTGAATTACGCGCGCCTTATGAATATATGTGTTATGGAGTGTATTAAACGTAAAACAAAACATCTTTCTTATCTTTTTTCAGTTATTACACAACCGACGATATTAGTGCATAACAATAAATAATTACAAAAGAAATTTCTTTCTTCAAGCTTTAAGTGAACAAGTGACATTTTATCGATGTTTATATGATCATACTGAATCTGAAACCACATACAAAGTTTCATGACTAACTGTACATTGTCAATTGACAACAAAAATGTGCTAGCATACACAAACTTTCTTTATCTTTTTGACATAAAGTATTTCTGATGAGAATAGTCGAAGTTGGCCAACACGCACAAATTCATCTATTCATAATACATTTGAAGAATTACTATGATAATTAAATATTTACATGTCTTTTTATAGAATTTCTCTATTCATCGAACAATTCTTTGATAATTAATTTTAGTCGATCAATTTCAGTTTGAGTTTTATATAATTTCTTAACCAATATTTTACTTTCAGCATCCATATTCTTAATTATACATTTCAATTCAGCATTGTCATCTTTCATTTTTGACACCATTTCTGTCAACTCTTCACTAGTTGTATCCATTCTTGTATAATTAAATCTTTCTAAATAAAGAGTTATGATAGTTAATAAATAAGAAGAGATTTAAAATTCTTACCTATCTGATACATGTTTACGGTTTCTTTTTCTACAACAGCGTCTGTTTGACAACTAACATCACATTTATCTTCCATTTCTCTTAGTGCTTCGTATTTTTCTAATAATGCATTGTAATCTATTTTATTTCCAGACGATGTCGTCCACATCTTTTGTACCATTCTGTATTTTGATAACACAAATCGATTAACTGATAAAAATGTACCATTAACACAATGACGATTGGGCATATCAACTATTTTTCGTACATAGCGATCATACTCAAATGTTAGAAAAGCATGTCCAGTTTGTGTGATTATGTCTATAGTTATTATTTGTCCACCAAATTGTTCAAAATATTCTCTCAAGTCTTTCTTCGTCACACGTAATGGATCTAATCTACTGATAAATAAACGTTGAGGAACAATATATTTACTTGGAAATTTTTTTCGTCTAAATGTAGCTGACATTTGGTGACCATTCAGAAGATGTGGATTATTTCGTAAGAAAGCATCAGTCGATTGATCATCATTAAATGAAACAAATCCCACCCTTTTATCAGTTATTCGGCAATATTTAACTAGACCATAATAATTACAATATGACAATAAATCAAATGTTTTAACATTTGTATGAATATTTACAATAGATAAACCAAACTCAAAGCGTTTTGGCACGGTTCCAGTTGTATTGTACATCTATAATACATATTAAACTTATACAGTTATTTTAAGAAAAGTAAAACATCAAAGTATACCATCTTTCATGATTTTATCTGAGAGATTTAGTAGTAGTTCAAGGAAACTCATTACTTGTATTTATAGTCGATTAGTCAATTGATTTTGATCAAGTTTGACCTCTGCTTGTGAGACTTCCTTAATATCATTGATTAAAACTGTTTTTGGTTCCCAGAGAGAGTCCAAACATACCGTGGTACAAAGCAAATACTGACTGTCGTTCAAGTCACCTGTTATCTCGTCACGCAGCAACTGAAATAAGCTCTAGATCAACTCCAAAGCTCTCTAAAATTTCTCATACTTGGACGCACAAATAATATTTTTTGCAAAATCACCGCATTCATCATGCATTTGGCAAAGAGTCCTGCTTTGAAGAAGTTGTGTTGCTCCCAGAGAATCTCCTACGGCATGGCCAGATAACTCTGCCACTGGAATGAAATTTCAGGACGAACTTTCGACATTTTGTTGTGTTTGAATTTTTTTAACGAAAGCATGTGCAGTGCTTATTTTTGAACAAATTCTTTGATAATTAATTTTTAAACAAAGAAACGTACAGAGCCTCGCGATGCCGCATTCGTAGAGAAACGTTTGTTTTACTAATCTTGATGTTCCTTCCACAGCACTGCGCGTGTTTTCGTTATAAAAATATAAACACAGCAAAATGTTAAAATTTCGTCACGGTATTTCACTCTGAGAGGAGAGTTGTCTGGCTGTGCCTTCTAGTTTGTCCTCATCAAGTCTAGTCGAGTGATGTACTACTCAGAGTGTATCTTAAAATTCTTTTTCTGGAATTTCGCGTTCTCATTCACTCATTAAAATTTCCAGATATGCCTTGAGTAGTATATCATCCGAGTGGGCTTGACTGAGAGATGACAAAAGATTTATTCGAAAATAAAAGAGTATTGCAAAATATTAGACACCAAAAACTGCCTGAAAACGAATATTTATCAAATTTTATAGGTATTTGTGCAAGAAATTTATTTTTGTGTTAGGTGATGAAATATTTTAAAATCTCACCAAATACATGGTTTTCACTTTTTGTAACCATTTTCTATGATCTGGAGGTATAACTAACGAGGGAACTTCCCGAAGTGATACACCTTGGTTTTGTTCAAACTTGACTATTTCTCTCCAAAATTATAGAATTTACAAGAAAAGCGCTAAATTAATTTTGTGCTTCCTATTTCTGTAAGTTTGAGCTGACAATGAACATTTAGGACTTTTCTTGTAAATTCTGCAACTTCGGAAAGAAAGGCCGTGGAGAGCTGGGAGACGTCTCATTTTTATGTAAAATTTATGGGCTACAATTTCAACTGGTTGCAAAGTCGTTGCTATTGTTTCAGAAAATTTACAGCAAATCGTTTTTCCAGAGAGATGACAGGAAAGATCTATGGGCATAAACGGCTGTCATTTTCGTAATCAGCGCCATTGATTACATATAAATAGCCAGGTTTGAACAAAATCAAGGTGTATCACTTCGGGAAGTTCCCTCATAAGTTGAATACTTCGAATTTGAGCAAAAAAGTGATGGACAAATGGAAGAAGTGAACAACAAATTATAGTGTCTTATTATTTGTTTTTTTACAGCATTAAAGAACTGTTGCCAGTTTTCCTAGTAGTTAATAATTATTTTTTGATGCGTCATCTAGATTGATTTCTTACAAAACGAAAAATGTCGTTTCTGTAATTTCTCATTTGTTTTTTCAATGTATTTTCATGTGCTTTTCATTTCTGCTCAAAGAAATTTTGCTCATTTTCTCTTTGCTCAAAACAGATTTACTCATTTTCCAAACTAGTTACTAATCTTTACTCAAAATGTTTTTGCTCATTTTTTTTGCTCAACGTCTTTTTGCTAAAATTCGAGGTTACTACTACTAAGTTATACGTTTGAGAATGTACGAAAAAAGGAGCTAAAATTGTCAGAGTCTATTATAGATCAATATTATTGCGCAGTATCTTGGACTGAGTAAAATAAACGTTAGATCAAGAAATAAAATCGAGACATGGGGAATTGTTTAGGCAAAACGTAAAAATTCGATTATTCATCTAGTATAACAGCTAAAGGTGTGAATCTTTGAGGATTATTAGTAGATGAAACGGGGTGGATCACGTGGGACGATTTCCTCGTTAATGTACACATCTCTCAAACCATAAGTACTTTATCACTTTAGATGAAGTCAAAACAGAAATCTTTCTTATTGCACCGTCTGCTTTCCACAGTGATCATAGATGGAATCTATTTCTTACCTGTGGTAATGCATATGTAGCCTCTTTCACACTTTGTGATGTTGACGACCACAAAGGATTAATAAGAATATTGTTTTGCGCGTATTCAACATGCATCTTGTATCCATCTAAACATATTTCATTACATACAATCAATGCTTTTCTCGCTTGGTCTTCTCTTTGAAAACGAACATATCCATACTGATTACAAGTTTTAACACACTCGATAACTTGACCAAATTTTTGAAATATCTGTTGTAAATGATCGCTTGTTGTTCGTGTTGACAAATTACCAATGAATAAGTTACACGTTGGTAGTACGACAAATGGATACTGGGAATTGATACTCTATAGATATACATAAAGATTTTAAAAGTATTTTTAAAGTATACAGAGTTGTTTGCTAGGATATCAAATTCCACTCACAGTTTTAGTTTTTCAAAACTTAAACTCATTAGGAAGAATTCGAATGTTTTCGGCCTATCAGGTGTTCAGAGTGAAATGTGTGTTTTTTTTATAATGCTATATTGACTTTTCATCTCAGCAATTTACTAAAACAAAATCATATTCCAGACCGATATCAAAACAGCATTTTTAAAGTGTTTTAGAAATCCTTTTTCAGTTCAATTGAAATATATCTCTGATCTCTTGCAATCATTCCTTAGTAGTTCGACTTGTTTTTAACTTCATCACTCACTTTGCAACTTAAAAGTAGTCGTTTCAAATGTATCCTACCGAATATAGTCACCTATGCTTGTATAATTTGTTACTAAAATCTTTCTCGTAACTCTTTCGTCGGGATCTTCTCATTTGATTTATCCACAGAAAATAGCATCATTTATACTTACAACCATTGCTAAACGCGTCCAATTTACGTCCAAAATACTGAAACGTTTATTTAGTTTGTTTTTCTTTCGTATTTATATATCTTGAAGTATATTCAATCTTTTGGTCGAGTCAACAAAAAGACAAACCAATTAGACTAGTCGGGTGTGAAACTAGACGAACAAAATAGAAAAAATTCGTTATTTTCTAAATTTAGCGGGTAGGGTCGAAAGAATGGCTCTCTTTTTATTTTCAGTTTCTCCACTCGCTCTGACTTCACAATGTCGTACTTTTTTAAGAGATCTGGTACTTAACTCTTTCGAAGAATCTGTTAAAAATTTTCGAGCGAGATGGGCTCGTCATGTTCCGTCCCTTGACTCACTATTTAAAGAGAACTTTTGTAACAGGATGTGCTGGACGAAATCATATGAAGGGCAGTAATCAACGTTTCTGAAGTTCAGTGGCGCTAGCTAATGGCTATTCGAGCTTTGTTTATTGAAGAAGTTTTGTTCTAGAGTTTTACTGCTTGAGTTTAGCCTGTAACTTTTCGAAAACTGAGTGTGTCCACTCAAGCGAATATGATGTGTTTGTTTAATTCTAATCTGATATGAGGACTGACGACTAAGTGCATCAGCTCTAGTGCCACTAAAATACATACAATGTTAAAAATTCGAACTGAAATTCATTGGATGGAAATTTTAGATTTAAATAAGCTTCAAGTAACATTCCATTTCTCCAGATTTCTTTGTTATGCTCAAGCGCAGCTGCTGAGATCGCCGATGCGGGGGGGGCGGGGCGGCGGG